GGAGCTCCCCGGGCCCACTGCAGCAGAACGGCGCCCAGAGTCGCTGCGATTCTGGAGCGCTCGAGACCGCCACATCCGCCCAAAGCGGTGCCGTATGCACGGGCCGTACGTGTGGGTCGCGGTGGCGTCGTCGAGGCGCGGGGTCCGGGAGGGAGAGGCTTCAAAACGCGGTGGCGTCGCGGTGGCATCGCAATGGCGTGGCTAGCACTGCCCTCAGATTGCTGCCCCGTACTCAGCCTCTCTGGCATCTAAGCTGCCGTGCGGCGCCAGAGGCGAGAGGCGTGTTGGCAGGCGCCGCAGCGCTGCCGAGCACCGCGCGCCGCGCCTGCGCGCGCCGCTCCTACGGGCCGCGTCCAGGACACGTCCAGCCTCCCGCAGCGGTGCGTCAGCGGCAGGCGCGCCTCGGCGAATCTCGGCGAATCTCGGCGAGTCTCGGCGAATCTCGGCGAATCTCGGCGGTGCGTCTGCGGCGCGGCGTGTCTTGGCGTGCGGGGTGGCCACTTGCACGGCCGCTGCGAGGCGCCGAGGAGAGGGGGCGGGGGTGCGTCTCCCGCGGGGGGTGCGTCTGCCGTGCGGGGTGCGTCTCCGCGCGGCGGCGGCGGGGGGGGGGTGGGGGGGTGCTGCTCTCCTCGGCCGCGGCCACAGCCCAAGGCATCGGCGAGGCGGCTGCGCCGAGCGCCGCCCGGTGCACCTCGACCTACAGCCGAGATTTGAGCCGAGGTTGCGGCGGCATTTCACCGAGAGTGCGCCGAGGTCGGCCGGGGACGGTGCTGAAGCGCACTGGCTAGCCTCGACCGATGGCCCTCGCACCATGGCGCGACTCGACCCAGAGACAGACGACACAGCGAGGGCGGCGGCGGCGAGGGCGGCGGCGACAGGGGTGGCGGCGACGGGGGCAGTGGCGAGGGCAGCGGGGCGGCTGGAGGCGAGGGCGAGAACGGCGGCAGTCCGGAGGGCGGCAAAGGGGAGGGTGGCGGCGGGGCGGGAGGGCGGCGGCGAGGGCGGCGGGGGCGGGGGCGAAAGGAGGGTGGAGGGGCAAGGTCTCAACGCGGTGAGAAGGGGCGGCAGGACTTGCATGATGAGCGCGCCAACGGCTACTACGGTCGAAGTACGTGCCCTGGCGAGCGCTGGTCTGGAGACACGAGTGCGTGTTCCGCTTCTAGGTGGATGAGATCTGGGGAGAGACGGGGAGAGATGGGGAGGTACTATGGTCGCACTGGCGAGCACGTTGAGGGCACGCCTGACGCACCGCGGCCGCCGGCCGAGCAGCATCACCTCGTCCACAACCTTCCACAGCCTCAACCGTCGCCCCTCTGGCGCCACGCTCGGCGGCGGCGGCGGCGGCAAAGGCGTTGGCGGCGGGGTTGGCACCCGAGACGTCGCGTCGCGCTGCTGCTGCAAGCCTCGCCGGCGCCGCCCAGACGTCTGCGGTGGCGGCGAGCCAAAGGTGGGGAACGACGCTAAGGAGGGAGGCAGCGTTAAGGCTTCTCTCATACCACGTGCCTCTGCACGTCCGCCTTGCCGCCACCGATTGAGCCGCCGACGGCACCGCCGCCGCCTTTGCCGCCGCCGCCTTTGCCGCCGCCGCCTTTGCCGCCGCCGCCTTTGCCGCCGCCGCCTTTGCCGCCGTCGCCTTTGCCGCCGTCGCCTTTGCCGCCGCCGCCTTTGCCGCCGCCGCCTTCGCAGCCGCTGCATTGGCCGCCGCGGCCTTTGCCGCCGCCGCCCGTGCCGCCGCCGCCGCCGCGCCGTCTGCCGCCGCCGCCGCCGCCGCGCCGTCTGCTGCTGCCCCGCCGCCGAGCGTTGCGCCGGAGGGACAACAGCTGAGGTGCGCTTCGGATCGCAGCGGCCCGGGTGGTCCCCTCAGAGACTGGGCCGAGCTCGCCCGAGAGTCATCGGGTGAAGCGTCGTAGTCCCGCATAAAGGAAAAGGCGCGGGGCGAGGCGCCGGGTGAGGCGGAGGCGTCGTAGCCCCGCATAAAGGAAAAGGCGCCATCCGTTGCCGTGGAGAGCCGAGACCCGCCCGCGCCTCCGCCGCCGCCGCCGCCCTCGCCGCCGCCCTCGCCGCCGTCCTCGCCGTCGCCGCCGCCGCCGCCCTCAGCGCCGCCCTCACCCTCGCCCTCGCCTTCGCCCTCGCCCTCGCCGCCCTCGCCCTCGCCGCCCTCGCCTCCGCCGCCGCCCTCGCCGCCGCCCTCGCCGGCTTCCTCCCCGCCGCCACCGCATCGGAGCTCCGCCTGCGTGCTGAATACACCAACATGAGAGCGGAGTACGGCGTTGTGCGGTGTACTCAGAGCACCGCATGAAGACGAGGGGTGCGGAGACAGTGAGTCCAGCCGAATACGGCTGCTTTCCACCGGGAAGGGCTCCGACGCCGCCACCTTCCCCGCCGCCCTACCCGCCCGGCAAGGCACCGACGCCACCACCTTCGCCGCCGCCCTACCCGCCCGGCATGGCGCCAACTCCTCCCCCCTCGCCGCCGCCGTACCCTCCTGGCAGGGCGCCCACGCCGCCGAGTGCAGCGGATTCCGTGTCCTCTCGATCGCTGGCTGGAGTACAAGAATGCGTATTCCGCTTCTAGGGAGCTCGGCCGAGAGGCGGCGGAACTCTTCAAAGTCGCTGCCAAGCTCAGCCTCGCACCACCGGAGCGGCGCCTGGATTCGAGGTTTCAGGGGGGTTTGGTAGCCGGGCGGCTGCCCGGGGTGTGACGGCCATCCAGTGGCAGCTGCTGGCCGCCAGACCGAGGAGGCGAGATTGCGATCTCGCGGCGGTGGAGGCACGGGCGGCGAATCTCGGCGAATCTCGGCGAATCTCGCCTTGTCGGGCGTCGCGGGCGGTGAGGGGGCGGTGGAGAGGGAGCGGGAGAGGGCGGAGGAGGAGGAGAGCGACATCGAGAGCGACATCGAGCTCACACTCGCCATGCCACCGCCTGCCACCGCCGCGCCACCGCCTGAAAGAAGAAACACGCGAAACGAAAGTTTCCCTGCCACCGCCGTGCCACCGCCTGCTACTGAACGTTGTTGTCGAGGCTGCAGGAGGCTTGCGTATCTCGGCTATGTCTTTCCGTTGTTGCCAGACGCCGCACTCGACCCCGCGGCCCCGGTGCGAGGCAGCTCGTGGCACAGAGTGCAGCGGACTCTCTGTGTCCTCGCCAGATCGTCGAGGCGCTCCACCGCCGCCTCCGCCGCTGCCGCCGCCGTCTCCTCCGCCGCCGCCTCCGCCGCCGCTTCCGCCGCCTCCGCCGCCGCCGCAATCGCCGCCTCCGCCGCCGCCGAAGCCGCCGCCGCCGCCGCCGCCGCAATCGCCGCCTCCTCCTCCAATGCCGCCGTCGCCATCGCCGCCTCCACCGTCGCCGCCTCCACCGTCGCCGCTGCGTCAAGCCCGCGAGATGGCGCCGACGCCTCTGCCATAGCCGGCGCCGCCGCCTCGGCCAAACACGCCGCGCCCTCACGAACGAGAGTCGCGCTCGCCGCCGCCGCCGAGGCCTCCCCGTCGAGCCTGCCCAGGTTGGAGACCGCGTCGAGCAGCTCGATTGCCACATCCGAGCGCGGTGGCTGCTCGCCGAATCTCCGGCTCAGCGCAGCAGAAATGCCGGGCAGCGGCCCGTGCAAGGCCGCCAAGTACGAGACGAGGCGGACGCGCTGCACGCGCGACTCGTCGCTAGCCCAGTGCGGCCAGCATAGCAAAGAGGTGGCCACGTCGAGGACCTACATTAGAGAGAGGCGCGAGGTGAAGATAGGCCGTATTTGCACGCTCAGCCACACGGGCTCACCTCCGTCGCCGGCACTCGATCAAGCACGGAGCGAGCCGCGTCTGCGATGCCATGCGCACTTGAGGACACGCTGAGAGCGTCTATTTCGGCGAGCGACGCGGTGAGCGAGAGCGACTCGTCGAGCATCGGGCAGGCATGGGTTCGCGGCAGTTGGAAGGAAGAATTTTACGCACCCACCGGCAACGATCCGTCCGCCGCAGGCCTGCGCGCGCGCGCCAGCCGCACCGCCGCCGCCCTCGCTGCTGCCAGGGACGCCCTCGCCGCCGCCTCCCGCCCGCTCAAGTTTGTCACCAACTGGTGCTTCTCCTCCAAGGGAACGGAGAAACTTGCCCGCCTCGTCCGAGGCTGGACCGAGCATGCGCCACGCCACGGCATCGTCTCCGACGACATCTCCGCCATGTACCAGTGGACGAGCCGCTGGGCGGGATTCGCCTTCCTGCGGAGACGCTTTCCGTCCCTCCTCGCCATCTTCCGCTTCTTCTACTACTCCGTCGCGGCCACTGCTGCGAAAATATGGTTTGGCGGCTCCACCGTCCCCGTCAACTTTGGCCCCGACGGACGCGCCGTGCTTGGGGACCACCGTTCCCAGCACGTCTTGCGCTCCGTCGATGGCGGATGCCAGGGCGACGGGGGCGCCACCATCTTGTGTGTCGGCGCCATGCACGAGAGCTGCCGCGAGTGCCAACGCCTCAACCCGGACGTCGACATGACCGCCACCGCCGACGACTTCTACGCGTCGGGATCGATGATTCCCCCCTCCGCCGAGGGCGACGGCGGCGACGACGACATGGGTCGCATGTCGTCCCTCTCCACTGAGAGCGACGACAGCGGCATACCGCCCCTCTTCAAGTGCTTGCCCTCTCCCGCCACCCACTCCGTCAGGATTGGGCCCGAAATCGCACAGAGACAGTCACGCAACAGGGGTCCCAGGGAAGGGAGCCAAAACCTGATCGCGGCGGGACGGGCCGACTCGGATTTCGATTTTTTTAATAATCTCCCGAGGAGCTGCGCGAGGGCACAAAGCATTCTGATTAAAAAATTAAGGGAAAAGAATGTCATCAGGGCCGACTGATGTGAAATCCTGTGGTGGCGGCGAGCCGTCCTCCTAGTCTGGGGACGCATTTTCTTTTCTTGGTGTACCTGTGCTAGTGCCAGTGCGCGCCAGTCCCGTGCCCAGTCCTGTGCCGAGTGTTATGCGAGGCACGCAGGGAAAATTCTTTCTTTCTGATGTGCGCCAAGAACGCCAAGAAGCGCGCTCGCGATGCTGATGCCGGCCCGTCCTCCGAACCGTTCCCCAAACAGCCCACCGGGGCGGCGCAGAAGCCTCTGCCAAAGTCGGCGACCATCCTCCAGCGTGTCGTCCACGCGCTGCGCGCTCGCGGCGAGGCCTCCTCCGCTCCGGCGATCGTCAAGGCGGTTGCGGAGGGCGGCTACACGGACGGCGCCAAGGTGCGCAAGGCGATCAAGGCGGGCGTCACGGCGGGGGCGCTGCAGACGAGTGCCGAGTCGGCCGCAAAGTTCTGGGTCGGCGGCGAGCCAATCCCAGAGGCGGCGGCCGGTCCGGCGGTGGCCACCGAGGAGCTCTCGCCGGGAGACGCTGGCGGGTCGCCCGTGGCGAAGGGAGACGCGGTCGCGATCGACTACACGCTGTCGCTCCTCGCGACGGGCGAGAAGGTCGAGGCGGGCAAGAAGTTTTGCTTCACGGTCGGCGGCGGCGACGTGATCAAGGACATGCGCCGAGTAGGGCTAGACACAGTGCGCGGACCGGAGTGGCGGCCGGCAAAGGGGCCAACAGCGCCAGGCGGCACCGGCGGCAGCGTCTCCCCACATCTCCCCATATCTCCGCCACATCTCCCCATCTCCCCCCATATCTCACGGCCTGTCTTGAGCTTCTGTCGTCTTGAGCTGTCCCTCACCGCCGCGGCGCCAGGGAATGGACGCCGGAGTGGTCGGGATGCGGCTCGGCGGGCAGAGGCGCGTGCAGGCGCGGGAGGGGCCGAGAGCAGCCGAGAGCAGCCGAGAGCAGCCAAGAGGAGCCGAGCGACGCCAACCAAGGGGAGAGGAGTCGAGCGCAGGCGTCGCGGCGGCTGCTAGACCGCTCTGAGCACACCTCCTCAGAGACTTGCGGCAGTGCGGTGTATGCGCTCCCCCTTCCGGTGCCGTGGCAGCTCGGCGAACGCGAGCTCTTTTTCTGCAGGTGCCGTGGCAGCTCGGGTACGGCAAGCGCGGCAGCGGGCCCGGGGTGCCGCCGTGCTCGGACCTCGTCTTCCGCATCAAGCTCGTGCGGCACGAGGTCGGGTGAGCCCGAGGGGCGCGATGTGGCGGGCGCGATGGTGCCGCGTACCGTATCTCCAATAACGCCGAGAGGTTCTCGGAGTTCTCTCTATCATGTCAGCAGTCCGGCCGTGACGGGCCGACGGGCGACGGCGACGTGCAATATTATCATTTTCTCGACTCTTTCGCTCGCAATTGCATAAACCATAAATTACAGAGATGCTCTATCCGCCAAAAACACAGTCGCCGAGCCCTGCTCTCCGACGTCCGAGAGAGAGGGTTGAGGGAGAGACGAGGACTTCGACGTTCGAGAGCGGCTGGCGCTAGTTCCAACTTCCATATTTCACTGTGGCACAGCTCGCGTTACAAAACCTTGATTGTGCGCCCTTTTGCGCAAAAAGGTACATGTCGGTGCCTTCCAGAGGCAGCTGCGACCCCGCCGAGTAGACGGCGGCCCATAGTAGGTGGCGCGGTGTGCCGCCGTCTAAACTCGGCGGGGTCGCAGCTGCCTCTGCGCGTCCTGGGGATGTACCTTTGTTGCGCGCCGGAGACGACTCGACGCCGCTGAGATTGGAGATCAAGCTCTGACAGGTCGCACGTCGCTCCTTTGACGCCGACGTGACTCACCCGTGCAGATCACATCAGGAGACGGTCTCGACGCGCTCGGTACGACGCCTGCGACCCGTCTCGGGTCAAGTGGCACGACGCTCATCGCGCCCGCCAGCGCTGCCGTGCAGGCTGCCACGACGAGGTCGAGAGCGCTTCTATACGCTCGCCCAGCCTTCCTTTCCATTCCATTAGGCAGCCTGGAACGGTGGCGGTCAGAGGCAAAGCCTACGAGGGGTGGTGGAACCACATGTCACGGCTACTGCCGGCTCGACCCCACGATAGCCTCCGAAGGCTGGAACGAAGTGTGGGTTTCGCGCAATCTCTTGACTATGTACCTCTCTGAGCGCTGTGGTCGCCGCAGACTGGCTCCAACTTGACGGCAGCATGGAGACGTGATGCCTGCATGCCGCCGTCAAGTCGAAATCGACATGCAGCTCGATGGTTTGCCCGAACAGGTACGTAGCGGCGTTTCTGGCGACAACCCTGGGGGGTCGACGGGCCCCCGGGGGCGACGGGGGTGCTCTCCGGCCGCGGCGGCCGAAAACGGGGACCTCTATTACGGTCTATTAATGAAGTGATGCACTTGATGCAAGGGTGCCATTGTGCTCTACTACAAAAGTTGTGTAAGATGCCCAAGTCTCAGACGCTGGATCCTTAGCGGAGCTGAGTTCTGACGGTGTGAAGACGAGCAACCGGAGTGACGACCGGGACCGGGCCGCACGCCGGGAGTGCCCCGACTAGCAGTGACGGGCGCGGACGAGCGAATGAGAGGTCGCTATCTGTGGAAGATGTGTTGTTAGGGACTAGGACTGCTCTCTCTCTCTCTCTCTCTCTCTCGTGCGTATGCTGTGCTCGCAGTGAAACTCGTGCTCCACCGCAACTTGCCCCGCAGCGAGCGGCTATTCACATAAACGCACAACCCCGGGCCCCGAAATCGCACAGTGACAGTCAGACATGCAAACAGGGTCCCAGGGAAGGCAAGAAAAAACCTTATCGCGCGCGCTTTATGCCGACTCGGAGGCCGCACCGGTCATGCGCGCAGCCGGAGAGAGAGGGAGGCGCTCAATCGCCGAACTCGGCGAGCGCCTCCATCGTCTCCGCTTCGTACGCGCCCTCCTCCCAGCAATTGAGCGCCTCCTGCACCCCCGCGGCTATCTATTCACATGAAATTGCACGCCGTTTTTCACTGCTGGTTTTCACATGAAATTGCATGCACGCCGATTTCTGCCCGATTCCCAGGAAGCCGCCCTCGCCCTCGCCCATCTAAGCGGCCGACCCCTCGCCCTCGCGCCTCGCCCACCCCCTCGCCCTCCGCCTCGCCCACCCCTCGCCCTCGCGCCTCGCCCACCCCTCGGCCCTCGCTCTCGCGCCTCGCCTCGCCCACCCGCCCGCCTCTCGTTCTCGCCCCCCCTCGCAGCCATGCTCTTCTTCGTGCTCGGTGTTCAGCCAGTCCAGCCGCCGGGGGCCCCGCCAGAATTGCCCCCGAGCTCGCCGCCGCCACGACCCCCTTCGCCGCCCCCGTCACCGCCGCCGCCCCTGCCACCGCCGCCCTCGCCGCCGCCGCCGTCTCCGCCCCCGTCACTCCCGCCGCCCCCGTCGCTCCCGCCGCCCCTGTCGCCCTCGGAGTGCTACCCCGGCATCGAGGGCGGGTTCAGCTGCCCGCCCGGGTACTACAGCTTCACGGACCTTGAGACGGGCGACGGCTCCCCAGGCGCCTGCCGAACGTTTACCTGCGGGCCGGGCGAGTACCACGCGCAGAAGCGCATCACCACTCCCGAGGCATGCGAGGAGGCGTGCACCGAGGCGAGGGGTGCGGAGTGCAGGGCGTTCGAGTGGTATCCGAAAGACCCCCGCAATCTCCCGTCGGGAGCGCCGTGCGAGCTGCACCGCGACACGCCCGTTCAAACCGCGTCCGAGTGCGGAGAGACCGGCCAACCCCTCGAGCACTGCTGCTGCGTCAAGGCAGATCAAGGCGTTGTATGACCGGCACACATTAAAGCCGACTGGCCACTTGCGTGATTGTTTAGGACCTTAGATGAGAGACTGATAGTTTGTCGCCGCGCCGAGGCGTCGTCCTTCGTGATTCGAGCATTCTCCTTCGTGGCTTGAGAGCAGCTCCATGCTCATGTGTGTGTATGCTCCCCCCCTTTTTGCATAGCTGGTACCACTTCGTAAAGCCGTGGTACGGCTTTACACACATGACTCATGAGCTACATCGTTCTGGACGCCGGGGTGTAACCGCCCCATGATGAATGAAGTACTACGGCTTTATGAGATAACGGCAACGCCGCCAACGGGATCTCGGGAAACTCTCCCTGTCTCTGAAAATATCTCTGAGCGGTGTACGCGGCTCTGTTTGTTTCTAGCTGCAATATCCCCAGCCATGCCAATATGAGCGGCGGTCCACCAATCGAAGAGAAGAATCTCAAAATCTCTCGAACTCTCCCAATCGACTGCGCACGCGCCGCATCTCAGTACTCAGATCTCTATTCTCTTCTAAGCCACTGTCTCAATCAAACAACGTCCAATGGTGGGGAGGAGGGGCGCGGCGGCGCGGCTGGTCGCGCCGCGGGCCAACGTCGAGGGAGGCACACACAGTGCGCTGCGCGCCCACCAAGCCGGCGCTCCGGTTCGCAGACGCCCACAGCAACTCGTCGTCGAGCCGCGCCTACCCCGTCCCAAAGGCGTGGTATGCGTGCAGTGTTGTGTGGGGCACAGAAGCTCGTCGTCGAGTCGCGCCTACCCCGTCCCAAAGGTGTGGTATGCGTGCAGTGTTGTGTGGGGCACAGAGCAGCTCGTCGTCGAGTCGCGCCTACCCCGTCCCAAAGGTGTGGTATGCGTGCAGTGTTGTGTGGGGCACAGAGCAGGCACCGGCCTGCCAGGCCACGGGCACAGAGGCGTACTTGGGAGGCAGTGGGAGTAGCTCCCCAGTGCTCGTCGGCAGTCGGGAGGGAGGGGGAGGGGGAGGGAGGGAGGGAGAGGGCGAGAGAGGGAGCGCGCCGCCGCCGCGACGCTGCCGCCGGCGTCGACTCGCTTCCAGGTCCGCACGGCGGCGAGGCGGCGCCGCCCCACGTCGATCTGCAGCTCCGTCACGCGCGCGCGGCGCATGTAGCAGCTCCGCCCGCCGTCGTCGCACCTGGGGCGCATTATACTCGTGGGTGTGGGTGTGGGTGTGGGTGTGAGGGTGGGGGTGGGTGTGAGGGTGGATGTGGGTATGAGGGTGGGGGTGGGGATGAGGGTATCTCGACGTGCCGCCCTCTCATCGACCGGTCGCTAGAGGGAAACAGGCCGGGAGGGCTGGGCAGTGATACCGAATAGGTAAAAGGCCCGGCACCTGCCGTATGCGGTGAAGCCGGGCGACCCCTCGTAGCAAAGCTGCACCCCCTGCCAGTCAGTCAGTCAGTCAGTCTTACACACCTCCAAGCATGGAGGACGGGCCCACACGCACACACACGCTGCACACGATTGGCTCGGGAGCCGACACGAGGCACGCTGTCACCGGCCGTAGCACTGGGTCCGGACTGCTGGACACACCTGCCACGCGGCACAAAAGTCGTTTGTGTGGTCGTGGCCTACACTTCTCAACAAGGAGGACTGGTGAGGCACAGCCGCTCCGAACTCAGAGAGGCGTTTGAGCGGGTCGTGGCCGCAAAAGCCGGCGACGACGCCCCCCTCCTTGAGCGCGGGGAAGACGCGCGGGTTCGGCCCGTCGCTGCAGACCGGCTCGCGCTTCTCGCCCGACATTGGCACCCCCGCAGCGACCGCCGCCTGAATCTCGGGCGATCTCGGGCGATCTACGGCAATCTCGGGCGATCTCGGGCGTCCTCACAGCGACCGCCGCCGAGTCTCGAGCTCGATAAATCTCGGCAAATCTCGGCACGCCTCGATCTCGGTCAAGCTCGGCGAGTCTCTCGGCTCATCGCGATCTCGGGCAATCTCGGGGCCTCTCGGCCTCGTACTCGTGCAGCGGAATGTGGTAGAAGGCCAGCGTCGGCACGCGCGGCAAGGAGCCCACCGTCTCGACAAACCAGGCGAGCTGGGCGTCGCTGATCATCTGCCGCACGTGGTCCTGCGTGCTGAACACCAACCTCAGGGCGGGAAGGCGGTATTGTGCAGTGTCTTCAGAGCACCGCGTGAATGTAACGGATAGGAAGACAGTGAATACCGCTGAATACAGCGGAATACGTGCCTCTCGAGTGCTGGTTGGGATGCAGGAATGCGCATTCTCTGCTTCTACGCGCGTAGTCCTTCCGGCTGTCGAAAAAGACGAGCCGCGCAACCACCAACTTGCCGCCCGCCGCCTCGCCCTCTTTGCTCGGCTCAGACCGCCCGGAGGCGTTGAGCTCGGGCGCACCCTTCTCCCCGTCCACCGCACGCCGCGCGTCTGGCGCGGCCACATGCGCCGGCATCGCCGCCTCGCCCGCCGCCGCCGCGCCCGCCGCGACGACGTCGAGGTAAAAGTTGCCCGGCGATCCCTTCACCGGCCCGTGCTCGGTCAGCGAGCCGCGCAGCGTCGTGACGTACGCGAGCACCTCGTCGCGGCTCAGCGTCGACTCCTCGTCGTGGTTGCCGAGCGAGGCGGCCCAAGGCCGCGCGCCGGCCACGCCGTACAGCTGCGCCATTGCGAGCTGCGGTGGAGAAGAGTCGCCGTCGATGACATCGCCAGTGAATGCGACCAGGTCCGGCCGCTCAACGTGCAGCACCGAGGCGAGGAACTGCGTCGTGTTCCTGTGCGTGCAAGGACCGGCGCCTCGCGGCACGTCTTCGCAGGCTGTGGCGAACGGGTGGTAGTGCGCGTCCGACACGTGCACGAGCCGCAGCGTTCCCGACTCGCCGACGCTCACCGTTCTCTGGCCAAGCAGCAAGAGCGGAGCTTGCAGCATGAAAGAGCACGCTGGCCCACTTGCGCTGACCGCGCTTCCTCACAACCAGCTCTTTCGCTCATCACAGGGTCCCTTCTTTTCCGGGGTATGGTCCAACACCCCGACCGGCAACGACGGAGAATCCACTCCGCGCCGGCGGCCCCGTCGGTGGCGGCGCCGATCGGATCGCGTCGCGCCGGCGGGGGTGGTGACTGAGCGGGCAATGGCTCCGCTGGCCGGCGCGGGGTCGCGCCAGCGGGGAACAGGTAAGTAAGGCGGCATCGACGCTGAACGGTCACGAAACCCACCTCACCACACTGAAAGACCACCGGCCAGTTGACGACACACTCCTAGACGCCCGCCGTCGAAGCTGGGAGGATGTATGGAGGAATGGTAATGACCTCTCCGGATTGGTTGAGCCCCGGCATCGATGGCGGGAAGAGGGAGGATCCCCGCCCCCATCCCTCAGTTCAATCCCGAGAGGAGAGGCAGAGCCTCTGGCGCGGGGAGACCCCCCGTAAGCTCTCAAGGCCCCCCCCCCCCCCCCTCTCAGTTCAGATCACAAGCGGCGGCGGCGCGCGCACACACACAAAGACGTTGCCCCCTCACACCCCGCACCGCACATCACACACCCCTCGTGGCCGTTCTTCAGTCTGCGGCCAGGGCGCGCTGCACCGGGCCAACCTGCGGCCGTCGCCACGTGCGGCGGGGCTCACCGCGGGGCAGCGCGCCGACGACGTCGAATGCGCCGCCGTGGCATCGCGGCGCCGACGACCCAGGCTCAGAGGATGACCCCTGGTAAGCGTTCCCGTGCCTCGACAATTGCCGCTGGTAGGCGCGCCGCGCCGAACCATGGCGGGCGCGCCGCGGCCGCGCGCAACCCTCGTCACAATGCCAACCGCGCGCGGCCGTCGACCGGCAAGCACACGCCTCGACTCGGACACAGTGTTCCGAGGGCAAGGGAGAGGGGCTGGCTCCTAGCCCGAGAGGAGAGCTTCCGAGACCCACTACAAGACCACGCACTCATCATCCCGCGGCCTGGCGGTCGGCGGGATTGCAACCAGTCTTCGCGTGCCGCCTGTCGTTCGCTCGGGCGCCTTGGGCGTCGGGGTGGCGAGCAGGGGACGCAGCTCTGAGCGCCCAGCGACGCGTGCCGGATGGAGTCCGGCCGCGGGTGACCAGGGAAGTTCGCTCAGGATGTGTGGCAGTCAGTTCGGCTGAGTGTCTTGTCTTGTGGTTCTGTGTGTCGCTCCTGTGTGACCGTCATCGCCCGTCTAGCGTCCACCCATACCGCGTTGGTGTCCCAGTCGTTGGTCGGACTGTGTTTCGCCTTCCCATCAATCAATCAATGGTACTGCCCAAAGGGTGGGGGGGTATGGTCCTGACCGCCCGAGGCCGGCAGCCGGGAGGCTGGGTCTGTCAGCAGGCGGGGGGGTATGGTCTCGAGGTGGGTTGCGCGATGTACCATACCATACCCCGCAAAAAGTCCGAACCCAGGGGTGGGCCTAAACCTAACCTGGGCCTGTGGGCTTGGGGCGCACCCCACCCCGCTCATCAACGCAAACACTAGCAAGGTCAGAGAGGTTCTGCTCGGAGTTCTCTCTCATGTCAGCAGTCCGGACAAGCGCAACAACTTCAACCTGCTGCTCCACGAGACGTTCGGCGGCGGCTTCTCGCCCACCGCCGTTCTCAAGCTGCGCCGCCTCGCGCGCAAAGTCGCGCGCGGCAGCGTCGACCGCACGGCCTACTCGCCCAAGTACTCGCTCTCTTTTATGTCCCACCATGCAGTGCTCCAAGTGCAGAGCGCATCTCTCTCTCTGTTGTGCGAGGCGTGAACCGCGCCATTCGCTCTCACCTGGCAACCCTGTCTGCACGTCTCGCGCGCGCGTGAACAGGGCTCCAGGCCCCAAATGACGTGTGAGTGTTAGAGTTGTTTGGTATTGCTAAAAATCTCTCTCGCAGTCCGGCCGTGACGGGCCGACGCGCAATTTTATCATTTTCTCTCTTTCGCTCATTGCATACAGAGATGCTCTATCCACCAACAAACATCGCCGAGCCCTGCTCTCCGACGTCCGAGAGAGAGGGTTAGAGACGAGACTTCGAGAGCCGAGAGGCAGAGCCAGAGCGTAGAGGGTGCGGTGCGTACCAAAATCCAGCAGTGCGAACAAAGTGTGGGTTTCGCGCAATCGCTTGACTATGTACCTCTCTGAGCGCTGTGGTCGCCGCAGGAGTGGCCGGCGCTGCTCGCCGCGACCACGACGGCTACTCCGATGCTCCGGGCCGACCCGTCCTACCCGACGGTGGCACTCTCCCGCACCTGTCCCCGCCCTCCACGCCCAAAACCGTCTCGCGGGCGCGTGGCAGCGTGTTGCCGCAAGCGACGAGAACGCCCCCATGCGCCCCACCCCCGAGGGGTCCGACGGCACCACCGGCAAAGATCTTCGTGTCGCCGATGCAGGGCAGGTCCCCAATCACGCCCTGGTAAATGTACAAGTCCGTCCGCCTAACCGTCCGCGTGCGTACTCTCACACACACACACACACACACACACACACACACACACACACACACACTCTCTCTCTCTCTCTCTCTCTCTCTCTCTCTCTCTCTCTCTCTCTCTCTCTCTCTCTCTCTCTCTCTCTCTCTCTCTCTCTCTCTCTCTCTCTCTCTCTCTCTCTCTCACTCTCTCTCTCTCTCTCTCTCTCTCTCTCTCTCTCTCTCTCTCTCTCTCTCTCTCTCTCTCTCTCTCTCTCTCTCTCTCTCTCTCTCTCTCTCGCCGCGCCCCAGCTTAACCGCCGCTATTATTCACATGAAATTGCATGCACGCCGTTTTCTGGATTCCCAGGGCGGCTTCCTCAGGCGTCGCCCACCCCCTCGCCCTCGCGCCTCGCCCACCCCCTCGCCCTCCGCCTCGCCCACCCCTCGCCCTCGCGCCTCGCCCACCCCTCGGCCCTCGCTCTCGCGCCTCGCCTCGCCCACCCGCCCGCCTCTCGTTCTCGCCCCCCCTCGCAGCCTTGCTCGACGCGTTAGAGGGTGTTCATCCAGTCCAGCCGCCGGGGGACCCGCCAGAAATGTCCCCGAGCCCGCCGCCGCCGGCACCCCCTTCGCCGCCCCCGTCACCGCCGCCGCCCTTGATGCGCCCCTCCACGCCAACGCAGCTGCCGCCCTTGTCCCCGCCACCGCAGCTGCCGCCGCCCACGTTTGTATGCGGTACCGGGGGGCCGGAAACCCCTTTACCAAGCACGGATGGCTACAACTACTGCGCGGACGACGAGGCCTGCCCTTGCCGCCATGGCATAACTCAAGCTCCTCGTACCAACCCCCCCCGGGCCGCCAAATGGCCGTGCTGCTATTGCGAGTGCGTACTTGCACCTCCGCTTGCACCTCCGATGCCGCCGCCGACCTCGGCATCGCCGACACCTCCACCGCCCGCTCCGCCGCCGCCCTCTCCGCCGCCGCCCTTGCCGTCTCCGCCGCCGTCGCTCCCGCCGCCCCTGCCACCGCCGCCCTCGCCGCCGCCGCCGTCTCTGCCCCCGTCGCTCCCGCCGCCCCTGTCGCTCCCGCCGCCCCTGTCGCCCTCGGTGTGCTACCCCGGCATCGAGGGCGGGTTCAGCTGCCCGCCCGGGTACTACAGCTTCACGGACCTTGAGACGGGCGACGGCTCCCCAGGCGCCTGCCGAGCCCTTGACTGCGGGCCGGGCCAGTACCACGCGATGGTGGGAATCACCACTCCCGAGGCATGCGAGGAGGCGTGCACCGAGAGGAGGGGCGCGGAGTGCTGGGCGTTCGAGTGGTATCCGAAAGACCCCCGCAATCTCCCGTCGGGAGCGCCGTGCGAGCTGCACCGCGACACGCCCGTTCAAACCGCGTCCGAGTGCCGAGAGACCGGCCAACCCCTCGAGCACTGCTGCTGTGTCAAGGCAGATCAAGGCGTTGTATGACCGGCCCACATTATAGCCGGGCTTTGACTGGCTACTTGCGTGATTGTTTAGGACCTTTGGGGGGGGGGGGGGGTCCGGCGCACTTGTACTTAGAGATGAGAGACTGATACGTGATAGTTTGTCGCTATGCGCTGGTCTGTGAGAGGTTGAGGTGCGAGCCCTGGAGGCCCTGGGGATGTTCTATGTTCACAGCGATTGTAGGAAAATCCAACAGGACGGACGGCGGCTAAAGCCGTAGCTCTATTTCGTTCGAGGTCACGCCACGTGTACGGTAGCCTGTACGCTGTAGCTGTACGGCTTTACGGCTCTAAAGCCGTAGCCGCCGCGCGGTCCCCGGGCGCAACGCCAACATTTGTATCCGAGGCGCCATTGATGCGCCGCTCAGAGGCCTCTGACCTCTTCGGTGATCGTCACTTACTCGGCCCACGACATCTCGGCTGCAGAAAGAGCAGCCGCCTAGATGGCATTGCCTGCTCGCCACCGCCGCCTTCGTCTTGGCAGAGCTGTGGCAGCTGCGAGCGTATTGACAGTCCTGATCTTACTCAACCGTCAGGCCGGGCTGCAGGCCTCCGACCGACCAGCAAAGCGCTTCGTGGTTACGTTCAATGCGACCTTCGCTGGATCCATCGAGGAGTGGAGTAAGCCTCAGCGCTTGCGGACGGCACTTGTGCACACACTGCAGGATGAAGGCACACTGCAGGATGAAGGTGGAGGCTGGTGAGGTTGGGCTGAGAGCCCACGCCGCGAGCGTTCTGGTGCAGGTCGAGATACAAGCCGCGTATCATACCAGTGCACTAGCATTGCAACAAGTCATCACGACTTTCACTGACAACGTGACGCACGCCTCTCGAGCGTGGGAGTTGGTTGTGCTTGTGGAGACGACGACGCAGCCGCTGCTGTTCGAACTCGCCTTGCCCAGCCGCCCTCCATCAGCCTCCATGCAGCCCTCTCTGCCGCCGACGCCCTTGCTGCCGCTGCCCGCGCCGCCACCACTGCCGCCGTCGCCGTCGCCGCCGTTGCCTGCACCGCCCCCTCTCCTCTTCTCTTGACGGACCGCTTTACGTGACGGATCGCTTTGTGACGTGTGGTGCGGCCGAGGTGTGGACGAAGTGCGACGAAGGACGGCCGAGGTGTGGCCGAGGTGCGGACGAGGTGCGAACGAAGCGCGGACAAGCGCGGACGAGGTGTGCCGGTGGCCGAGAGGTGCGGACGGTGTGGCCGGAGGCGCAAACGAGGTGAGAACGAGGCGCGGCCGAGGTGTGGTCGAGGTGCGTTCGAGAGGTGCGTGCGGCCGAGGTGCGGCCGAGGTGCGTGCGGCGGAGGTGCGGCCGAGGTGCGGCCGAGGTGCGGCCGAGGTATGGCCGAGGTGCGGCCGAAGTGCCGGTTGATGCTCAGGGGGGGGGGGGGGATGACGTCCTGGCGGCGATGTGTGATTGGGTCAAGTGGCCACGCTCTGCCGGAGAGTAATTTCGCCCTCGGGTGTATGTATGTATCTGAGGTGAAGAACAGTCAGGACTGGGCACCGGCGCAGTAAGTATGCATGGGTGATGCTGGACAGGAGATGACAGCACGCTGCGCGACAGAAAGAAATAGGGCTGCCGGACAACATGCACATGCACAACATGCTCCATGTGCATGCACATGTGCATGTGCATGTGCATGCAGCTCTTACGGCTCTAGAACGATATTTGTGCTTTTAGGTTTCTGACTGAGCGAGCGAGCCTGTCTGTGTTGAGCCTGTCTGTGTTTTACCTTATCTTACCTTGCGAGAAGGTCGTTGCTCTCTCTCTGTTGTAACTTCTGAGCGAGCACCGACCGAGCACACCGAGACATGCCATATGTTACGAGGTCAAACCCATACTGTGAGCTCGTAACATATGCGACAAACAAAGGGGGAGACAGGGTGCGGCCGTCGGTCGAACCAAACTTGGCGTTACTGTCGCAGCAGCGGTCAGAGGACCGCCGCGATATATGTCGGGGGAACAGCCGGACGATGCGGCTCAGGGCCGCCACGGAGAAGGTGGGCGGACGACGCAGATAGCGGCAACCCAGCCCAGCAGCAGCCCGGCTTCCCACCCGTCAGCCCTTGGTGCGCTTTGGCCTCGCTTCACATCGCGGGGCTGGCAAGCTGCCAGTCCCCAAGACTGTCGGTCTGGCTTAGGGGAGAAGCTGCATCCCACAATCAAGCGGCGGCGAGGCCAGGCTGAGGAGCCCGAGGAGGAGGTGGCTGGCGAGGAGCCCGAGCTTGACCTGTGTTTGGAGGCGGTGCCAGAGGCGGACGACCCGTCGCCCCTGATCTTTCCCTCCTTCGGCATGCTCCCACGCACCTTTGAAGAGGCCGAGACGCGCGCCATGCCCCGCTCCGGTTCATTCTGACTCGCGTAGCGGCGTGAGGGGCGGCTGAACACGCCAGGGGGCTCCTGCGGTCCACCGGCCGGCCGGGCGCCCCTGGCTAGTTCCATTTCACTGTGGCACAGCTCGCGTTACAAAACCTTGATTTTGACCATTTGCGCACTATTGTCCCTCTCGGTGCCTTCCAGAGGCAGCTGCGACCCCGCCGAGTAGCACAGCAGGTGGCGCGGTGTGCCGCCGGCCGTCTGTGCAGCCATGGGGGTGTGCGTGAGTGCGTGTGTGCGTGTGTGTGCGTGCGTGCGTGCGTGAGTGCGTGTGTGTGTGCGTGGGAATCAGTCGGCGGAGTGAATCGAGGGCGCGGCGTATCATGATGAGGGTGAT